TAGTTCCCATGGGTCTCTTGCAGCGCGATGACCGTGCGCTGCATCATGTATGGGGGGGGGGGGGATGTTGCGCTTCATGGCGCGGCGGGATGGCGGTCGCCCTAGAAGGGCGTGCCAGGAGACGATGTTCAATCCCTCGGCCTCCGGCTTGATGAACCATGGATACCAGAGGGTGCTAAAGCCTCTGCACTGCAGCCATGGGATCCGCGAAGGCGGCGGCGAGCTCTTGGACGCAGGGGCCATGTTCTGCCGCAGGAATACCAGCAGCGTCAGCAGCACTCGACCAGCGCACCTTGGTAAGAGCCTCGGGAGTAGCGCCAGCGATGGCCTGGACAATGGGCGAGCCGAGAACCGAGATGTAGCCGCTCGTGCGGTGGATCCTCAGGTTGAGGTAGGGATTCTTGGCGGCGATGAGTTTGCTGAGTTCATTGAGTTGCACTTCTTGACGCACCATGCGGGGCGACTTGTCTGCGGAGACGTAGAGCGGAGATTGGCCAGCCGGGGTCGTAATCTGGAAGGTCCCCCAGTCTTTGCCAAGACGAAGAGCTCTGCGTAGCGAAGCAACAGCAGGAATAGCCAGAAAGTCGCCGCAAGCGAATTTAAATGACATTCTTCCGTTAGGATTTGACGTGTTGAGGCGGATACCGTCGATGTCCACGTTAGCGGCGACGAACCATTCGCTAAGGGCGCTTTTGAGCGCGGAACCGTCGGACTCGGCTGGCGCTCCGCACCAGGAGGTAACAGCATGCGGGGGTCGGTCCCAATTGCCGAGGGCGTCGATGTTGATGGACGGGTGAAAGGCTTCGGCATGATGGACGGCTTTCTTGATGTCGTCGACGGTAGCTTGCAATACGGCATTGAGCGCTTCTGCTTTGTCAGCGCGAGCTTTGAGTTGAGTAACGCCACCTGCAACTGATTCTTGTCGTCGAGATAAATCTGCTGTGGCCCGGGTAGCGGTCTTGAAGAATTCGGCTTGAGCTTCTCGACAGACTCGTTTGGGAGCTTCTTCAAATGCTTTGGCGGCTTGGTCGACCTGAGCTTGTAGGACATCTTGAAGTTTTTTACGTTGGTGTGCTGGGATACCTATGGCGATGAGCTTCTGAACTCCAGCAGCCCAGGGATCTGCCTTGTCTTTCCCTCCACCTTTGACTCCGAGAGCGTCCACGGCACTGGGGGCGGATCCACCTGGCGTACCCATCGACCCACTTCGGCCGCAGTCGAGAGGAGGCCCGCGCTAGCATCGAGAGATCGCGCGTGAAATTTAGGCTGGCCGCAGGCGAATGCGGCAGCAATGGATACGAAGCTCGACACCGCGGGCGCAGTGAAGGCGGGGAAGCGGGTCCCTTGCTGGACCTGGACCAAGGGTCTCCGTGCTCTGCCACGGGGCGAAAACATCTTGGGCCAAAACGGCTATGGAGGAGGAAGGGGAGGAGGAGGAGGAGGAGGAGGAGGAGGAGGAAGAGGAGGAGGACGGAAGAGGCAGGAAAGGAGGGAAATAACGGCCGACGACAACGATGATGATAAGTCTGGCTTCCGAAATGCGTTGTTGTGGGAGGTATGTGGGTATGTCGCGTGAGTGGTTGTTGGTGTGTTGGATGTCTGTTGTTGTTATGAGTTTATACGTGTTGTTGAGAGCTGCTGTTGCAAATCAACACAGCTCCCAGATCACAATAAGTAGACTGGTACCAATTCCAACCGGGGCGGGGCACCCATGTTGACCTCCAGAATGAATGTGTACCCTTAAGACGGTAATGTGATGTCTGGGTCGTCTTAAAATGCTTTTAAAAAAGAATCCGAGTGTAGGCCCGAAACGGCTGGTTGTAATTGATACCAGTTCCCTACCTAGGCTCGGCCTAGAAGGGTTCTTACTCTCTTAGCTTAAAGGGGCCGGGCAGTGTAACACGCCCCGGGCGGTTCCCCCGGTCCCCGCCCCGCGGTTCCCCCCAGTCCCCTGGGAGCTTTGGCTTTAGCTTTAGCTTTAGCTTAGCTTTAGCTTAGCTTTAGCCTAGCTTTAGCTTAGCTGTAGCTTAGCTTTAGCTTAGCGTTTCGCTTAGCGTTTCGCTTAGCTTTTCGCTTCGCGTTTAGTTTAGCTTTAGCTTAGCTTTAGCTTAGCTTTAGCTTAGCTTTAGCTTAGCTTGAGTTTAGATGTAGCTTAGCGTTAGCTTAGCTTTAGCTTAGCTTTAGCTTAGCTTTAGCTTAGCTTTAGCTTAGCTTTAGCTTAGCTTTAGCTTAGCTTTAGCTTAGCTTTAGCTTAGCTGTAGCTTAGCTTTAGCTTAGCTGCTGTTCAGCTTTAGCTTAGCTTTAGCTTAGCGTTAGCTTAGCTTTAGCTTAGCTTTAGCTTAGCTTTAGCTTAGCTTTAGTTTAGCGTTACTGTTACTACTAATGCTGCTTTCCTAGGGGTTCCAACTCCTAGGTAGGGTCGCACTGGGATAATTTGTTTTTTGGCCGGCTGAGAAGTGTCCCAGTCGGTTGTAATTGGTCCCACTCGGTTGGCATTGGTCCTACATGCGATCGGGACCCCCCCTTTGATCGATGGCATCTCAGATAGCCCCAAGAGGCCCTCAAGGGCTCTCAAGGCACCCCCAAGAGGGCTCCAAGACCTCCCAAACTAACCCAAAGATAACGCTCCAAGAAGCGATTTTGATGGCTCGGGGAGGGGAGGGGGGGGGGAATCGGGGGGGAGGGGGGAGGGGAATCGGGGACCCACCACCTCATTCCCAACCATCCTGTGGTGTTGGGTCCTCGTTTTGAAGAGACAGTGCCCTGCGTTCCTTACTTTCTCCTCCTCTCCGCCTCCCCCTCGTCATTCCTCCCCTCCCTGCCTCTGCTCTCCGCATGCCCATCCCCTTTAGGCATACCCCTCACACGTTCGTTGCCCAATAGGGAGCGTCACCTAAGGCCCCATTAGGAAAGTGTGCATGGCACCGCCGCCCCATTTCGGCACACCCCTCACACGCTTCGTGGCCCCATAGGGAGCTCCATCTAAGGCCCCAGTGGGAAAGTTCGCATACCACCGCCGCCCCACTTCGGCACACACCCCACGCGTTGCGTGGCCTCATGGGGAGCTCCGCCTACCCCAGTGGGAAGTTCGCGTGGCACTGCCGCCCCATTTCGGCACACCCCTCACACGTTTCGCGGCCCCATAGGGAGCTCCACCTAAGCCCCATGTGGGAAAATTCGCATGGCACTGCCGCCCCATTCCCGCACACCCCTCACACGTTTCGTGGCCCCATAGAGAGCTCCACGGAAGGCCCCAGTGGGAAGTTCGCATGGCACCGCTGCCCCATTTCGGCACACCCCTCAAACGACGCTTCGTGGCCCCATGGGGAGCTCCGCCGGAGGCCCCAATGGGGAAGTTCGCATGGCACTGCCGCCCCATTCCGGCACACCCCTCACACGTTTCGTGGCCCCATAGGGAAGGCCCCAGTGGGAAAGTTCGCATGCCACCGCCGCCCCGTTTCGGCACACCCCGCACAGGTTTCGTGATCCCATGGGGAGCTCCACCTAAGGCTCCAGTGGGAAAGTTCGCATGGCACCGCCGCCCAATTTCGGCACACCCCTCGCACGCTTCGTGGCCCCATAGGGAGCTCCACCTAAGGCCCCAATGGGAAAGATCGCATGGCACCGCCGCCCAATTTAGGCACACCCCTCACACGCTTCATGGCCCCATAGGGAGCTCCACAGAGAGTCCCAATGCGACGTTCGTATGCGTCCTCCCGACTCATGTCGGCACACCCTGCACACGTTTCGTGGCAGAGGGCTATACCGCGTGTGCTATTCGGAGTTTGCGCGCCCCCCGCCTTCGTCTCATCTCCCTCGCGGCACTCGCAGTTGCATATGGTTGGGTCCGTCGTCAGGCTAATTGATCGATGGCCTCCAAGACGGCCCCAAGAGGCCCTCCAGGGCTCTCAAGGCATCCCCAAGAGGGCTACAAGTCGCCCCCAAAAGAGCCCCAAGGAGAAACCAAGATCCCCCAACAGGGTCTCAAGAGTACCCCAAGATCTCCCAAAAGAGTCCCAAGAGGGCTCCAAGAGGCGATGTTGAGGGCTCTGTCCTCGTCCTCGTTGTCCTCCTCGTCTTCCTGCTCCTCGTCCTCGTTCTTGCCACCATCGTCTTCCTTGTCCTGTTCCTCCTCCTCCCCCTTGTCGTCGTCGTCGTCGTCGTCGTCGTCGTCGTCGTTGTCGTCGTCGTCGAAATCGTCGTCGTCGTCGAAATCGTCGTCGTCCTCCTCCTCCTCCTTCTCCTCCTCCTCCTTCCCTCGCCCCCACGCGGGCCACAGGAATGGCCCGAAGCGGCCCTCCAAGGCAACCCCCTTGCTCCCAGGGATTTCTCTGCTCACCCTGGTTAGCCGCTTTGTTTCACTACGTGTGTCTCTTCGTCCCTTTTCCCGTCAACTCTGATGGGCAGGGTATGAAGAAGTAACAAGAACCAACTCTTAGGAGATAGGAAGCAAGAAGAACCCATATTGGGATGTGGAGAATACACTTCCAGAGCTCCGCCTGGACTTCTCGGATCGGCGCTGGATCCGCCTCACCTGGTGAAAGAACAGCACACACTCAAATCTGCACGGAAGAGGAAGGCGACGAAGGCACTAAAGGCATAGGTGCGGGTTGTCAGACCCCGAAGAGGCATCCCGTTCAAGCGGCGACCCTCATCCGACAACACACACCCGTAGCCCCCACGGAATTCCACCCCGAGAAATCTGCGCGTCCCATAAGTACGGGTGCGCGCGCTGAGCGCGGCGCCGAGGCGCCGCCAGGAGGGCCCAGCGCCGATCCAAGAATTGCGCCGGAGGTTCGTAAGTTGCAGATTCTCTTCTTCGGAATCGTCAAAGACCGCACCGCACGGTACGTCACCGCACTGTTCTGGGACCCTGGAAGCTCCACTCGCCCGGGACATCCTCGGAGAACGACCCGAGTCCCAACACCGTGCGGTGACCCCGAACCCCCGCTGACTCACCACGCGGTGTGGCGACCACCAAAATTTGTCGGCCTCCGATCCTCACCGAAGTCGCTCTCGGCGCCGGAGGAGGCGTCGTCGCAGGAGTAGGGGAAGCGGTCGGAGGCGTCGTCGCCCGCGTCGGTGGAGGGCGTAAGAACGTCGGGGCGCGAGGACCTCTCGAGGGGCAACGATAGGTGGGGGGGGCTCTCAAGGGGGGGGGAGCATCGACCTGAAATCGGCGACAGGCTCCTGGAACCAAATCCGCGCGTTCCTTGGCAGGGTGGGCTATCAGGCCCCTATCGGCCGGCGATCCATGGGCGATTAGGGGTCGATGCATCCCCCGTCCATGAGCCTACGGAGAGGAACTTCTGCTTAGTGTGTCGCCGCGGCGGCCCCAGCGACACGCTATGCCCTGCAAGCGGATAGCGCGCGGGGCGGGAGGCTCGGAAAGACTCGGGACGCTGACACCCGGGGACCCAAGAAGTGGACAGCGTGCCGCGCCACAGCGTGGTGGGCCAGCACCAGCGGAGCGACACGCTGAGCCAAAGGCTCCCGACCGTATACACCCACCCGACTCGGGCGTTGGCAGGACTAGATTTAGTGCGACCTGGTTTAAAGATGTGTACTGGGGGGACGCCCCCCCCCCCCGCCCCGTTCCACCAACCAGAGCAGCCGTCACCCGAAAAAAGCACCAGCTACGGCAGACCTGGTCTAGTGATCCTGGCCAATTGAGGGGCTGCGGGGCCCTGCTGCTAGCTGGGCCCCCTGACCTGGAGCCCTGGCTGTACCCGACGGGCGACTGCCCCCGACCTCTCGCTGCCGCAGCCGTCGGAGCGGCCGCCGGGCGAGGCCGCGCGGGCGGTGGGCACCCAGCGGTACGTCGGGGGGGCCTTCTTGCTCGCCGCCGTTGCCCCGGAGCGGCGCGCGGAGGCGCCGGGCAGCACGGCCGCCTGGTAAGCTACATGATGGTTACGGAGGGCCACGGGCGCGGCCATTGTAGTATGCGGGTAAAACGTGGTAGTAGGCTGAGATGCTTCACAATGAGCGGAGTCTGCGGGCGGTGGCAGTCCTGGCTACAGATGATGGCTGACCGGTATGTCTCGAGCCGGCGGGCGTCGCCGGGGAGAGGGGGAGGAGCAGCAGGGTGAGGACAGCACCGAGGAGAAGAGGAAGAGGGGAGGGGAGAGGGGAACGAGGGGCAAACGCACATCCATCTGCAAGAAGAGGAGGAGGAGCAGCAGCAGCAGCAGGAGGGAAGGGATAAAGAGGATCAGCGGGAGGCGGAGGAGGATCACAGAGGGGGGTAAAGAGAGTGAGGCGAAGAAGAGAGGGGAGGAGTGAGGAGGCGGAGGAGAACGACGACGGCGACGATGAAAAGGAGTATTGAAGAGGATGGGAGGGAGGATAGGAGGGAGGGGGAGCGGGGAAGCCAGGGGAAGAAGGGGAGGAGAAGGGGGACAGCGGAAGGAGGGCTGAGGCAGATGCATAGGAAGAGGAGGAAGGACGAGGATCAGGAGGGGGAGGGGAGGAACAGAAGGAGAAAAATTAGATTAGGAGAACTCATCCGCCGACCCCCCGCTAGCCAGGAGTGAAAGGGTGTGCGAGAGATTGGGCTGTCCCCCTCCCCGTGGTTCCCCCTGCCGGGCCCAACTTCCTGTCGAAAGAAAGGGAATGGGGGGGGTGCGAGCTCCTCCACGCAATGCCCAGGCCGTCAGAGCCTCCAAATCCAACCCCCTGGCGCCTCCAAAATGCTCAACATGCCCGCCAAGAGTACCAGGGAGAGCTCCAGCAGTCGCAAGAGGTACCAAACAAGAACTCAAGAGGCACGAAAAAATCCCCCAAAAGGCACAGAGAGGTCGCAGAATGGAGCACAGACATCCGAAGTCCTCGCAAAGACGAACTGGGCGTGCAATTGTATGTACTATCTCGCCTTGTCGTTTCTTCTAAGTCTAGGACTGTCCAGAAGCCTCACAGAGACCCCCAAACAGCCCCAAATGCCCCCAGGATGACTTCAAGCTGCCTTGTCGTTTCTTCTGAAGTCTAGGACAGTCCAACAGCCTCACAGAGATGCCCCCATAATGCTCCCGAGCTGCCCTTGGCCCTTGAGGCTCCCTGCTTGCCTGCACGGCGGCCCCCACTGGCTCTCATACAGCCCACGATCGCCCCACAACGGCCCCGAGACCCTCCCCAACAACACCGTGACCCCCAAGGAATACCAAGATCAAAGAGGCCCCAAGAGGCCCCCAGAGGGCTCCAAGAAAGCCCCAGAGGGCCCCAGAAAGACACCACACGGCCCAATGCCATACCCCCCAGAACTGACTGAATGGGAGCGTTGCGTGCTAGATCAAAGGCCCGACCCGCACCCAATTCGAGATGATCCTGGCTTCTCCTGCTCTTCCGTTTCCTGCTCTTCCTCCTCGCCCTGTTTCTTGGGGTCGGCAGAATGGCGCAAGCCTCTGGAATAAACTGGGCAGTTACCGACACACCTACGGTTCCGGACGGAACCAAACTCACTATAGCGGGCTCCATCCGTTGCATGGTGTCGTCTGCCATTGCGTACTCAAACAATCTCGAGCACCACAAGAAACGTGGCACGCCACAGTAAGAGGCGCGAGCGTGCAGAAAGAGGACAGGCAAAGGCGCGGCGAGCGGCGGGCAAGCCTGAACAGACGCAAGGGAAGGGCGCTGCGCTGCGTTTTTATTAGTCTAGGAATCACGCCTCCTCCTCCTCCTCCTCCTCATCCTCCTCCTCCTCCTCCTCCTTCTCCTCCTCCTCCTCCTCCTCCCCCTCCCCCTCCCCCTCCCCCTCCCCCTCCCCCTCCCGCACACACACACACACACATCACGGCGTGGACTCTTGCTCGGCGTGGATCCCCAAAGTTCTGGCCCCTTGCCCAGGACCGGTGTTTCAGCCTAGACCACTTATGCTACGGCCCCGGGGCTCGGTAAAGGCCCCTGGAGGTCGACAACTACCAACACGAATCAGCGCCTTGACGTTGTTTCCACGGCGCGCGCGAAGAGGCCTGTGTCTGGTAGTCGAACGTCGACACCATGACCTGTCCTTTCTATCGCTCTGGCCACGAGGGAGTAACAAACAAAAATAACAACTACACACGAAGCACAACAAAACAAAACAAAAAAAATAATCGCCCTCCTTCCCATCCAGGAGGGGGGATGCAGGAGGATGAGGGGGGAGGGAGGAGGGAGGAGGGAGGAGGGAGGAGGGAGGAAGGGAGGGAGGGGGGGAGGAAGAGAGGGAGGAGGAGGAGGAGGAGGAGGAGGAGGAGGTGGAGGAACACGACGACGACGACGACGAGGAGAAGGAGGAGGAGGGAAAGAGGAAGGGAGGATGAGAAGGAGGATGAGAAGGAGGAAGAGGACCAGTGTAAACCCATGGCGCACCAAATATGATGCACTAGATCCTCACTCGAAAAAAAAAACGCACTAAAATTATCTGAATCCCACCTGCTCTCTGGGCGTCAGTGATTTTAAGCATTTCCTCTTCCACCCCTCCTTCTTCCCCTTCGGGGAGGGGTTTATCACTGCTCCCTATTAATATACACCCCCTCCCCCAGGCGACTGGCAGCCAACCCAGGTCAATGCGGGCCCCCTCTCCGCCATCCACTTGCGAAAAACAATGCAAAATACACCTTGCCCCCACCATTCCTTGTTAAAAGAACAATGCAAACACACTCTGTCTCCAAATTCGGAGCATGCGCAGCGAACCCGATGCGGCCTCCACCCGCCATCCCTGTCAAAAAACAAAACAGAATACACTTGGCGGCGGCGGCGGCTGCGGTGGCTGCGGCGGGGGCAGCGGCTGCGGCGGCTGCGGCGGTGGCGGCGGCGGGGGCGGCGGCGGCGGCGGGGGCGGCGGCGGCGGCGGCAGCGGTGGCGGTGGCGGCGGCGACGGTGGCGGCAGCGACTGCGGCGGCAGAGGCTGCGGCGGCGGCGATTTGGCAGCTGGGGCGGCGGCGGCGGCGGCGGGCGGCGCGATGACAGCGGCAGCGGCGGACAGCAGCGGCGGCGGCGGCGGCGCGGCGCCGGCAGCGGCGGCGGGCGGCGGCGGGCGGCGGCGGCGGCGCATTGGCCCCCAGTAGCTGGCCATCCAAAGACGACTGCTGCATATGCTGCGGCTCGGGCCAGGCTCGGGTGCTACTTATGTGTTGGGTGGGCGGGTGGGAGTAAGCGAGACGGCTTGCGGGCGGCGAGGGAGACTCTTGACCCCTCCCCCTACCCCCTCCCCTGGACCTGGACGGGGGGGGGTCGCGAGTCGTCGGAGCGTCCAAAACGGCCTCGGCGAGGAAGCCAAAATTATTGGTTTTGCTAAGGTTTGGGCCCCATATTGGCCTCTTTGGGGGGGACGCTAATTGAACACCCCCCCTCCTGTGATCGACCTCACTCAAGATGGTCCAGAGATGGCCCCCAAGGCTCCCAAGGGTGCCCCAAGAGGGCCCCAAGAGGTGGCCAGGAAGCCCCAAAAGGCCCCCAGGAGGCCCCCAGGATGCCCCCAAGAGGCTCCCAAGAGACCTCCTTGAGACCTCCAAGGAGCAAGAGGCCCCCCAGAGGCACCCAAGACGCTCCAATAGGCCTCGGCGACAATGCCAAAATCGCTGATGTTACCAAGGTTTTGACCACATGTTGGCCTCCTGGGGGGGGCACTGCTTCAGATGACTCTAAGAGCGCCTGGGAAAACCAAAGATGATCTCCAAGTCAAGATGGCTCAAGATATCCCAAGATGCCTCAAGATAGCGCCCACGATGCTCCAAGAGGCCCCAAGACCGCTCCAAGACGGCTCCAAGTGGCCAGGAGGCCCCGACGAGGCCAAAATCCTTCCAAAACCTTAGGACATCTATGTTTTTGGCTTTCTCGCCGAGGCCTCAAGATGGCTCCAAGATGGCCCGAGAGGGCTCCAAGAGCGCTCCCAAGGCTCCCAAGAGCGCTTCTAGAGGGCCCCAAGAGGCGTCAAGGAGGCCCCAGGAGACCCCAACAGGCGCCCAAGAGGCCTCCAAGAGGCTCCCAAGAGACCCCCAAGAGGCCCCCAGAAGCTCTCCGAGGCACCCAAGACGCTCTAAGAGGCGTCCGGGACCGCCAAGAGGCCCCCAAGACGCTCCAAGAAGCCTCCACTGGGGGACCCTTCTTCTGTGTGCTGCCCGCTTCCCTGATCGAGGCAACTCCTTCGGGCATCGTTTCTGGATGGGCTGGTGGGGATTCGCGAAGCGTCAACTGTTCCAGGATGTGCCCCATTGAAAGACAACCGTCTGAAAATCTTCCATCTCGCCCAAACACCACTCCTGGAACTACAAGGCCGCGAATCAACGCAGCTGCTGCCAATCCGTGTCAAAACACCATTCCTGGGACATCAACACCCCTGATCAACGTGACTGCTGCCCCCTGACAATCCGACATCGCAAAAGAACACCATTACTGGGACTTCAGCTAAACGAGCCCGTGAAACGGATGCAAGTGTTGAAAACGAATTGCGCGCGGCGCTAAAGCGAGAGCCCCATGTTTGAAACCAGCCCGCTCTCCGCCCTTGAAGCTGTTAAGGCGAGACCCACAATATTGAAAAGCAACCGCCCTCGGTGCTTGAAACGGCTGCTAATTTCAAGCTCCGGATCATGAGTGGCGAAGAAATCTCAAGCGAAACGCTGGCCCGCCCTACCGACGCGTCTGGGGGCGCGACAGCAAGAAGTTATCGATGAGGGAAAGTGTGAAAACGAATGCACGTTAAGCGTTGATTGTGTACGTCGAAAAACACGTTGTGAACATGAATCTAACACGGGCACGGGAGCACTGAAGGCTGCCGCACCCCAGGGCCATACGGCAGCAGCAAGGGGAGACAACTAGAAAGGGCAAGGGAGCAGGAAAGGTTGGTAGGCCACCGTTCGACCCTGCAGTGCTCAAACGAGTATGCCTGTGCCCCGTCGGCTACAGCGCGCAAACCGTGCCGCAACCGACGGGGCGCCATAAACAGTTGCAGCAAGATGGGTAAGCCTGGTTCCGGCACACCCCGAGAGTTGCCAGAATTCGCGGCGCCCCATGGGCACCTTGGCCCCCCAAGGTGCCAACCGCAAAGAACTTTCACGGCGCGCGAAAGGGAACGCCAACTACGTCCAGCACAAGCCGAAGCAGGCCGGCGCATCCCGCGATAGGAGGCGAGTCTAACAAGGGGCCTTCCACTGACCAGGTCCCTC